GTCTTCCTTGTTTTGCAATCAATGGCTGATCAAGAGGACAGGCGGGCTACATTTTAATAATATTCTACTAAGCCAGTGCTTATCTACGATCCCACCTGGATGGTAAGTGGTGATGTAGCCTAAGATAGTGACATATGTGGTTTCGCTGCTCTAAGCTATAATGTTGTCGAATTTCTTGCAAGCTTGGTAATCCTCGTTAATATATTGGAAATCACACTCATTTTATCTCGATCTTTACATGCCATTGAAGTTGATGAACTTTCTGCAACTCTGCTTGTCGATATGACTACAAACAGCTTGCAGAGGCAACTTGATACTACGGACACATTCAAAAAACTTTTTAATAAAGCTGAGGTCCTCGATAACGAAGTTGGAACGAAACCACGGTACGTAGAATAAACGGCCGTCAAATAAATAGATCGAATATTGAGACTCAGTCTGTTGAAGAATGTTACCGACTTTCAGTGTATATTCCTTTCCTTGATTATTTACTAAATGAAATGTCCTTTAGGTTTCCCAGAGCTCAGTTGCAAAGAACAGGAAAGCTGCAAAAGTTGTTGTCCCATAACTCAATCGATGAAGATATAGAGGATGTTTTGCAGGGTGCTGAAGTTTATAAAGATGTGATCTTGTTTTTTAGCTTTTAAGCCGTGTTACAAATTCGGCAACAGTTAATAGAAAATATCCTTAAAACACCAGCAGATGCCAAAAAAGAGCAACGGCTCTGCGAAATGTAAGAACTTAGTTTGTGCCAATTATAGTGCACGTTTCATGTGACAACCAGCACTGCCGAGCAATTTTTACCAGCTTAAGCCAGTTGAAGACATATCTTCGCAGCAGCATGAGAGAAGATTGTCTAAATGGACTGGGTTTAATGCATATTCATAAAGAAACAGAAGAAAGAGATTGCAACGAAGATGAACGCTGAAGAATTACTTGATACCTTCAGCAGAAAACATAAAAGAAAGCATCTCTCATCATTCCTCATTACAGCCTTTCATAAGTCCACTGCTGGACATAGGCCTCCCCCAAGGAATGCCACAAAGCACGGTCCTGAGCCACCTGCATCCATCGACTTCCTGCATGTCGTACCAGGTCGTCACTCCATCTCGTGAGGGGTCGCCCTACACTTCGCCTACCGGTACGAAGCTACCACTCAAGAACCTTTCTTCCCCATCGGTTGTCGGTACTTCGAGCTATATGGCCGGCCCACTGCCACTTCAGCTTACTAATCCATTGGGCTATGTCGGTCACTTTGGTTCTACTGCGGATATCCTCATTTCTAAGTTTATCACGCAGAGAAACTCCGAGCATAGCCCTCTCCATAGCTCGCTGAGTGACCTTGAGCTTCCTCATACGGCCAGCAGTGAAGGACCACGTGTCAGATCCGTAAGTCATCACTGGCAACTCGCACTGGTTGTATAATTTCGTTTTAAGGTTTTGAGGAATGTCTGACGAGAAGATATATAGATAGTTTCCCGAACGCTGCCCAGCCGAGTTGAATCAGTCGATTGACCTCTTGGTCGAAGTTGGACTTACCTAGTCGGACTATTTATCCCAGGTAAACATACTCGTCAACAACTTCGCGCTTAGTGCTCCCAACAACTACCGGCATAGGTGTGACATGGACATTGAACATGATCTTTGTTTCGTCCATGTTCATCTTAAGACCTATCCGTTGGGAGACACTATTGAGGTCATTGAGCATGGTGCTTAGATCCTCCAGCGATTCTGCCATAAGGACTATATCGTTGGCAAATCGAAGGTGAGTGATGTACTCGCCATTGATGTTAATACCGTATCCTTTCCAGTCCAGAAGCTTGAAAACGTCTTCCAATGCAGCGGTGAAGAGTTTCGGGGATATAACGTCACCCTGTCTTACACCTCTCTGCAATTGGATAGGTTTCGTACTCTGGTTCTGTACTCGGATAGCCATCGTAGCCCTACTGTACAAGCACTTCAGCACTTCGATATACCGACAGTCAACTTGGCACCGCTGAAGGGACTGCCCAAATTTCGACGGAATCAAAGGCTTTCTCATAGTCCACATGCGCCAGACATAGTGGCATATTGTACTCCTCTGACTTCTGTACAATTTGCCGAAGGGTATGTATGCGGTCTATGGTGCTAAAGCCCTTTCGGAAACCGACTTGTTCGGGAGGCTGGAAGACGTCAAGTCTGCGCGCGAGACGATTCGTAATGACTCTCGAAAACAGCACGTAGACGCGGCTCAGAAGGGAAATCGGTCTGTAGTTCTTCAAGAGAGCGTTGTCGCCTTTCTTGAAGAACAAGACCACCGCACTTCTGTTCCACGCCTCCGGTGTAAGCTCTTTAATTCCGTTCTCCATGGTGCCACCATGGAGGACGGAATTAAAGAACTTCTGAAGGACTTCAACTACCGGTTTTCCACCCGCTTTCAGAAGCTCCGCTGTAATTCCATCCTCGCCTAGGGCCTTGCCGTTTTTAAGATGCTGGAGAGCCATTCTAATCTCGCTCAGACTGACGTCCGTGATATCTTAGTAATAGTGTCGGATAAGACTCGCTCTTGGATCGTTACTCACACTTGTGTGTGGCTCCAACGATGACGTGTACAGCTGCCTATAGAACCTCTCAATCTCACTCAAAATATCAGGTACCCCGGAAACGATGCTGCCACACTCGGTCTTCAGCTTTGACAGTTGGCTCTTTCTGGCAGACAGATCTCTGGCAAAGACTTTAGAGCCTTGGTTCCGCTCGATCGCTTCTTCAATACAAGCTGTATTGAATTTGCGTAAGTCTCGCCGCATGCATTTGGAGATCTGTCTGTTCTGTTGCCTGTATTCTGTCAAATCTGTGGAAGAATGTAGCTTCATCTCCCGTCTAACAGCCAGGAGATTAAGAGTGTGATCGGAGAGTTTTTGTGTTCTTCTGCGGCGGGTCTTGCAGAACTTAGCTCCGACCGCATGGACAGTTTCCACGAGCTTGTCATTCATATCGTCCACTTCATTGCAGTTTTCTAGGCACTGAAAACGGTTTTGTAACTCGAGCTGAAAGGTTTCAGGACTTTGGAACAGAGCACGAGGGGGACGGAGCGTTGACTTCATTAGACGTGACCTCTCCAACTTAACGTTTAGGTTCGGTGTGCCTCTAACCATTCGGTGATCGATACCAGTTTTCACCTTCGCGATCACGGAGACATCACTGAACAGTTGTCGTCTGGTCGTCATAATGAAGTCAATCTCATTTTTTGTCGAACCGTCGGGGCTCGACCAGGTCCATTTCCTGTAACCCCGCTTCTGGAAGAAAGAGTTCATCATAAAGAGTCCCTCTTTCTCCATGAAGTGGGCCAGCTGCTGGCCCCTTGGGTTCCGTTGCCCTATTCCAAATTTCTCTATTTTCAGCTCACCTTTCTCTCTTGTGCCTAGTTTTGCATTGAAGTCTCCCTTTAACACCGTATATTGGGTTTTGGAGGAATGCATGGCTCTAGAGATATCCTCATACATTTCCTCCACCTCCTCATCGGGGTGTGCCGAGGTTGGTGCGTAAACCTGTATGACCTTCAGCGAATACCGTTTGGTGATTCTGAGTATAAGGTACGCAACCCTTGTCGACACACTCTCGATCTTTACAACGTTGTTAACGAGAGACTTGTGGACGATAAATCCGACACCTCCTTGGAACAGATGGTCGCCCTCCCGGTGATAGAGCAAGTTGCCGGATTCGAGAATTACCGTGTCCTCCAACTCTCTTCGGACTTCGGATAATCCTATAATATGCCAGCGCACCTTGTCTATCTCTTCTTCCAGCTCCACGATCTTCTCGTCAGTCCTCAGGGTGCGTGCGTTGTACATTGCCAGGTCGAGTCGTCTAAGGTGGCAACCGAACCTCCACCGGAGATTCTTAGCACCCCCTGCCCCGCCGTTACCATGGTCGCCACCGTAGCCAGGAATAGCGGGGCCGCCGGGGACTGGGGGCCGTCTGTTTGTTGCTTTATTCATTTTCTTTGCGAGAGGGTTGGCAACCGCAGTTTTTTTTTTTGTAATTTCGGCTACTATCAGGAAGATGCTGCTGCCCATCTCCTGCCTGTTTCCCTTTGTCGCCTTTTACGACACCCACGGGAGGATATGGGGTAGTGGATATTCTTGACCGCCACTACACGGCATTTTTTCAATTAGGTACCAACGTACATACACATAAAATAAAATAATAAAATCTTTACTACATACTCATAACATAAATTCATCCCAGATATGTACATATTAATCACGGAGCAAAATTAATGAATACTTTCGTGTAGTGACGAGATGGAGTGACGACCTGGTAAGACATGCAGGAAGTCGATGGATGCAGGTGGCTCAGGACTGTGCTTTGTGGCATTCTTTGGGGGAGGCCTATGTTCAGCAGTGGACTTGTGAAGGGCTGTAATGATGACCTAATTGAAATTATTTAATATTGGAAAGTTTTTTTTAACAATATGGTTCTCCTCACAGACATAATATAGGATCTATATACCTAATAAGTCTGTGGGTCGTATGAAGTAGAATGTCGCATAGCACCCAATACACCTAAAACTCTACCTACGGTCTGCTGTTAGAAAGTCAATGCATGCAAAGTTCAATACTAATACGAGACGAGAAACGAAGTGCAAAACATGAATAGTACGATAAATAGGTAGGTAGGTACTTGATAAGTTTTAGTTCTTGAGCTAGGTTCTAACAAATATTTTATTTTTATTTTTATTTCATATATAATTCTATATTAGTGTTTGCATTTGACAACTTCAGGCAGACCAGATAGTTTATTATCTACAGCATTTCTCCATTCCACGCTTCACAGATAACAGGTTTAATATACAATCGAGACCTTGACAGGTTAAGAATCCAATCCAGTGATACAGTGACGGTACACCGGCCGGCATTATAACTCGTTCGCCGACTATATTTACATAACTACATTCGTAACAAGTTTTCATAAGTAAAATATCACATTTAGTGGAAAACAGTATTGGAAGGCGGCGCAAAATGAAATCGTTTATAGAATATTCTCCAAACTCAGACTTTCCCATTGAGAATCTTCCATACGGTGTATTTACTTCGCCAAAGAATGTAAGTTGGTGTTTATGTTTTTTGTGACATACATTCCATAGATGTTTATATTTAGTAACAATGATAAAATCACGTAGCGCAGTGCAGTGAATAATTAAATATGTAAACATACCTAATAATATTAACAACAGCATTCAATTATTCTTTATTTTATGCTGAATGTTGTATCTTATCAAAAAATTTATATAGTTTGCTTTGTCGTATAGTTGCATAAAATATTTGGTTTTATGCATTAAAACTGAACGATGTTGCTGTTTTAAAAAATATTTATGAAAATAAATGGCTATTGTTTTTAAGTAAAAGTATTTTTTTTTTGTGTATTATGTAGGTAATTATAGAATTTTAATGCATGTTACACTCACAGCTGTATAATTTTCCGTATATACACCTATGGTATAATATCGCGAAGTACTTGCAAATAGTTTATTAAAGATTATAACCAATACGTTTAGTTATTTCATTACTTATCTGTGTTTTTTATATTATGTTGTAGAGAAAAAATAAGAAAATTTAATTAAGATTTCTAATTAAATTTGAGGGTACTATAACAAATTTCTGCTTGTTTAAAGGTATATGCATTTATTTATCTATATATGCATTTAAAAGTAACAATATTTAAAAACACGTTTGTCTTTTGACTTTACTTGCGTGTATTTTAAATTGTTATTTCAAAGGTTATTTATAAATTTTAGAGATATAACGATTATAGAATTCAATTCTCTATCTTCTAAAGTCCTCATTTGACCTTGAGTAACATTGGGCTAGGGTAATTTCTCAGTAACCTGTTTAGCCGATCCTTCCTTAAAATGTATTAAAGTCCTAAATTAATTTAGTAGTTTATTCAATACAAACTATAGTATTCGCATTATCATTAGAAATCTAAAATATTTTGGTCTCCGAACGACAGCAGTCTAGTCGGGGCGCTTTCAACGCAATCGTTAATCTTAAACCTCAGAGATGAGAACCATCGTCTGTATTTTGATGCTTATAAGAATAAGTGCCTGTGGGCATCCACTTACCATCAGATGGACGAATTCCTTACCCATCTCTGCAGGATCAGCAATGCACTAACACGATGACAAGATGCGATTCAATAACTACTCGTAACTACAAGATATGTGGTACTCCACCTTTGGTGTTCACTGCCGCTGTGTCTACGACTGCGAAATTTTATTTTGACTCTGATATCATTACACTTTTTATTAACAAAAATAAAACAATTACACCTACTTTAAATTTCTACTAGCCTTTACCCGCGACTTCGTCGGTGTAGAATAGAACAAAAACCCTGCAGATCTGTAATAGTGGTCTTTGAGCGAGCAGTTCAGTACCGAAAAACCACTTTAAACTCAGTTTTTTGCTTTTTGCTATTATCTAGAAAAGTACATATATACAATACAGAAAAATATATAAAAAAATTGAATATCTATTAGTTTTACATAAAAAGATTACAATACATATCACCTTATACTTTACTTTACTCACGTCTTACTCATAGTTTTATTGTAAAATAATGTTAAAATAATCTACTATACATACATATAATAAGAAAGTCGTATCTGTGATTCTAATATACTCCTGAAAAACTAAGTCCAGGGGACTAAATAAAGGGTACTGAAGCCAAATTAGTGGTTTTTAGAATTTTTATCTATCTGTCTGTCTATCTGTGTGTTACCGATTCACGCAAAAACTACTGGGCCGATTTCCATTAAATTTTATATGTAGGTAGTTAGTGGCCCGGGGCAACTTATAGGCTACGTTTTATCCGATTACGGAACTCAAAAAAGAAGGTTACGTATTTTTCTTCCTTTAGATGTTAATTTTCTATTATATTTGATTAAGTTAGTTAATAGGCGGCATGACGAGTGTTTTTTTTTCAAATAAATATCATATTTGTAAATAAAGTTGAAATTAGTTCTAACATTTGTATAACAATATGAAACTCCACTGACGATATACGTTTTAATTATCAAAACAGTGCCATCTATCACAAATGAATCTGTTATGGGTAATTTTACGTGTTGACTTACCACGTATCCGGTGAAGTGATGAAGAATAACTTCGTGGGCAAACCTAAAAGTCTGAGTAGTTAAAAAGTCGTGTAAATATGAAAACCGTTAATACGGATTGCGGCATACTCTTTTCTGCCCACAAAACACTATAGGTAATGAGGAGCCCTGTGCACAGTAGTGAGACGTATTTAAGCTGTTACTTTACTTTTTATACCTTTAATGAGACTTATTAAATCAGTTTTTCATTTAAGATTTTTGTGTTTTTGAGTTTTCATATTATCATACAAATCAAGATTATTTGTGACAGTCCTGCTTTTATAGCTCACATGAGATATGTAAATGAACAGGCTGGTGCAAAAAAATTCTTTAAATATCAAAAATAGCAGATTTTACTTAAAACGAAGGTTTATTTTATTTACTTGTCAAAGGCGGTAATCAAACTGATCCAAACGTAAATTTCATAGTACATAAGGATTATTATATATTTTCTGCCGACTTCCAAAAAGGAGACGGTACTCAATTCGAGTGTATGTTTTTTTTTATGTGTGTTACCTCATAACTGTACTGGGGGAACCGATTTCGATGATTCTTTTTTTATATGAAAGCTGATAGTTCTTGATCAAGGTCAGACCAATGGTTATTGAGTTATTCTTAAATAACTTATATGGAAATCGCTTATATTGAAGTCGGCTGTACAAAATTTTTAATTTTAAATTATTACATATATGTTAATTGCAATTTGAAGTGTCTATTTACCACGTTCTCGACGGTGAAAGAAAACCTGCATATCTAAGAAGTTCCCCAGTTGAGGTGATCCCGAGTGGGCATTTTCTGCCGACTTCAAAAAAGGAGACGGTACTCAATTCGACTGTATCTTTTTTTTTATGTGTGTTACCTCATAACTTTTTACTGGGTGGACCGATTTCGATAATTCTTTTACTTCTCGTGCTTCTCGTGTGGTTCCATATGAATTTGATCAAGATCAGGCCAATAGTTTATGAGTTATTCTTAATAACTTATATTTTAGTCGGCTGTACAAAATTTTTAATTTTAAATTATTAATTATTTGTTTTCACACTACCGTAAATATTAACGGTAGCAAAGATTCGAAAGAATAGAACTCATCATCTTTATTGATACTACCTATCAAAAGTCCACTAAACTGTACATAGACGTCCCCCATAAATTTTTAAATAGGCTGGATATTTGTTATAGTTTCCACGCTTGGCAGGCGGGTTGGCAACCGCAGCCTTTAATTATTTTGAACTGTTGTCAGGAAGATGATGTTGCCGATCTCCTGTTTATTTTCCTTCATCGCCTCTTAGGACACACGCGGAACGATATGAGGTGGCAGATTCTTTTTCCCCGTGTCAAAACAAGGCGAACATTTTTCTGCTTTCGATCATGAGTGTAGTTCTACCCACGTTCACTGCGAATAGAACTTCATTTGCAATAAAAGTAATCTTAAAGATTTTATCGTGTTTAATTTTAATTTTTTTTAATTCCTGACGTTTCGGGCACTTTAAAGAACCAATGGAGACGGCCGAGGGAGGGGGAGAGGGGGGGGGGGGGGTGGATTGTTTACGTAACTTTTAACTAATAATGTTTGATGCAATTTACGCAGGACGAATTACAATATCTTGAAGTCTTGCAGTAGTATTTATGCTTGCAAATCGTCCCCGGTAGGAATCGGTGTTCTATTACGAGGATTTGTTGTCTATCAGATCTGATATAATGGTTGGGACGATACACATACTTCAGACTTCTCAGAGCGCCGGTGCTTCACATTACCAATATATTCTTTTACGCAAATGTTTATGGAACTTTCTTCCAAAGATGTGTTTTGTACAACCCGCTTAAATAAAAGTTAAAATGTAATGTGATTTATTAAAATTTGTTTTATTACATGTGTAGTATTCATTATTATAGAACTGCATATATATGAAATTTTGAAGTCTACTCGAACGTAGAAAAAATATTAGTAACTATTTTATGGTGCCAATCAATATTAAATGGGAACAATGATATGAATCAAAAAAAAAATGATAAAAATCAAAAATATAAGACCATAAAATCATCATTATTTTGTAAAAACTAAATCAAATTTAATTATGAATTAATGGAGCAAAGTGGAATGGAATGGAATGGAGTAAAGAGTAAATAATAACAATAAATTTTGATTCCAACACAGTTTATCTTTCTTATGGATACATCGGAAGACACGTCCAATATAAAAAAATTATAAATGTTTCTAGACATATCATATTAATGCAATTCTGAAAAACTTATTTATTCATGTGTTCCTGTAGCATATTATATACGTATATGCATATCAAACATCTAGGTCCAATAGTCTTTGGCAAATCAAAAAAATTCTTTGACAAACTGACATAGAGACACAGACACCGAAGTGACCCTAAAAGTGATCGAATTTTGCTAAATTCGGCACGGAATAGCATTTAATGATGTTTCTAAATTAAGACCATGCGAGCGAAGCCGCGAGTAAAAAGCTAGTGTTAAAATAAAAAATGTTTAAAATCAGTTTTGCATCAAAACTTTAAGAGGTAAAACATAAAATGTAAGAACCTTTATGAGTAAAAGTAAATTGCAAACTGAAAAAGTTTTATCAGAAGCTTTGTTTATATATCTTATAGTTTATGAGATAATCATCAAAAAACATTTTATCAGTCGATTTCACATAAAAATATAGACTAAGTAGATCACTCATGGGATTTTTCTCTTATCTGTTCGTGAGGTGAGTCACAATCCGCATAACATAACCAATCCAAAGATCAGCCCGAAGACAGACAGACGGACAAAATTTTTCAAAATATTTATTCATATCTCAATAGCATTCAAATAACCTAGAAGCTAGGTTTTTCGGTACACAGTACAGATACTTCAATATTATTCATAAGATGATGATGTATATATAAATAATTTTCTTTATTTCAGGTAGAAAAACACATAGGAGTTGCAATCGGGGAATGGATCCTAGATCTGAACGTGGTATCTCATTTATTCAATGGTCCATTATTGAAAGACAAACAACATGTTTTTAAGGTATAAGTGACCACTATGCTAATTTCTTGTTTACATTGAATTGACTTCCATTTATATTTAAATTTATTGCACAATATTATTTATTAAACGCTATTAATTTATATTATTGTAATAAATAAGTACTGGTGTGACCAGTACATTTTGATTAAAGTTAGAGTACGTTAAGTTCACCAATTATTGACATATTATAAGTATGCCATTTTCACAATTTTCTTACTTGGTAGTAATAAGTAGTAAGAGGTAGTGGTATAAATCAGCTCAATGCTGCTGTCATAGAATTTAATTCTATGGCTGCTGTGTTTCTTATGGTGAGCGGAGAGAATCGGTGACCCTTTTTACTGGAAACGAGGCATTCTATTTTAGTCCTCAGGAGTGTCAACGCATGTAAAGGGGAATGCCCAATTCTGGCCATGAAACGCCCAACAATTTGCATTTGTTAAAAAAATACATCTTTTTTTATGGTAATTAATCGCAGTATTTATGTATCCAAAAAAGATTGCAATATTTTTCCACAAAAAAAAAGTACCGAAAAGATAAAAATGAAATTAGGTAAATCCGCAAGTCATTAGTTTGTGGGTAAAATAAAAAGTGTTGCCAATCACAAATCTCGTAAAAAAAAAGTCGATTTTGTTTTTTCAATCGATTTTTTATGTTGTCATTATTATAATGGTAATATTATTTTCGATAATTATTATGATGTTATGATAATTAAACAAGCGAATTGCTAGTTGATTTGCCATGAACTCTTTAGAAAATAACAAAAAGGCTACTGCACAATTTAACTGTTATTTTTATCTGTTCTTAAAAATACATTTAAAATGGAATTTAAATAAATAAAACAAAACATATTTTAAAAGGCGTGCAGAACTTAAAGCGAATCAAAGATTATTCTTTTAATGAAATTATAAATCGAATAAAAAAATCGCTATCTATTTATCGATTTTATGTCTGATAATTGGCAACATCGAATCTGATAGCTAGGCCCATGTCATAATTATCAAAACTAAATAGTCACAAGTCAAATGACTTTGCATTTGTGTTATTTTGTTTGTTTTCTCGCGGATTTATTGTCTAAGCAATGAATAAGCTTTCTAAATGGACTCCGATAATTCTTCTCGCCATATTGACCACGGCCCGAAAATGGATCCCGCTCCCACTTCTTACAATAACCTCTGCACGAAATTGGCACTCAAGCTTCCTAGCACTCAGTAACTCTCTCAAGAGGACATTAACGCTGTGTCAATTGTGGTTTAAATGTCACGAAAATACGAAGTCATTTGTTATTAAAAACTGTTTTTGTGAAAATAAAAAACCTTTATATCTTAAAAATACGGACTTTTTTTAAACCAATTCCTTAACCATTTCATTCTTTTACTTGCATATTATCATTTCCACATGCTTTTATATGTGGGCACCTATGGCCGAAGTGTCTATGAACGGTGGGCATTCCCCTTTTAATTCTTAATTGCGGATAGATGTAGATGTTTCTGAGCCACAGCATCCACTTACCGTCAGGTAGACTGTGTGCTCGTTTGTCACACTTATTCTAAAAACAAAAAATATGACATATCTCTCTTAATAATATATATCTCAAAGTCACGAATGAAATATCTAACAAATGCCCACCTCTCGGGATTTGCTTGACTTTTCTTGCTAATAGAAACTAAACATTCAGATTTCTTGCCCCGAAACGTATCTACATGACAATAAATTTTTTGATATTCGTATTACGGTACCTATGTATTATCTATAAAGTATACTTTTATAACTCAATAGCTGATATATTAAGACAGCAGTCACTTTTTATAGTTAATTATATAATTATCTCAGTGAAAAAAAAAAAACTGAGACGTGCAAGTTCAACGATATCTACGATGCGGTGGCAAGATGTAGAAATACCTATAAACAATTATCAATTATAAAGCTGAAGATTTAATAAAGATTCTAAAACACATCGTGGGCTTATTTGTTATATCTACATGTTATTTTCTTATGCAAGTTGAACTTAAGTTATTAGTCTGCGACATCATTTCCTGCAGACTTAAAGTCCTTTTCCTTCCATGGACAAAGGGGCTCTTCGTGAACGCCACGCTTCGCTGGCATATTGCCAATTGCCGTAGCAGATGTACACTTTGTTGACCGTCACCAGTCAAGGGAAAGACGGATATCCGGCTCTATCGTCACTCGCCATACGAAGCACAGCAGCAAGAGACTGCTATTTTACATTTGCAATCGTCCTTCCCCAGTTGAGCCGACGCATTCGTGCAGCAGCATGTTGCTCTACCACGTATACATGATACGGAAATAGATAACAATAACAATTACAACCTTTAATTTGTATACTCAATTTTATCATTTTGCTGAAACAAGTAAAAGATATGTTCAAGAAAGATATAAAAGTTACCGCAGTTTTTACGCATCTAGAAAACCTTACTGCCATTAAACGATGGTTAAAATTAAATAGGTATTTCATGTTTTCGAGTACATTCGACGAGTATTTTCGACACATATTATATCATTACAGCCCTTCCCAAGTCCACTGCTGAACATAAGCCTCCCCCAAGGAATGCCACAAAGCACGGTCCTGAGCCACTTGCATCCATCGACTTTCTGCATGTCTTACCAAGTCGTCACGCCATCTAGTGGAGGGTCCCCTACACTTTGCCTACCAGTACGAGGCTGCCACTCAAGAACCTTTTTCCCCCATCGGTTGTCGGTTCTTCGAGCTATATGGCCGGCCCATTGCCACTTCAGCTTACTAATCCGTAATTCTATACGTAGGTAATATTATTATTACATTTCAGGAGGAGAAACTGAATGCATTTATGGGATTAACAAGACCGCACTGGATTGAAGCCAGGAAAACGATACAAAGCCTTTTAGATGTTTCCAATACTACTCTACAAAATGACTCTCAACTCAGGGAAAGGTAAATTATTCCACAGAGAAGATTGGGGCTCTAAGTTTGTATCATCACATCGGCTTAAAGAATTTTATTTCTCACTAGATGGCACCGGCGCGTTGCTGTCACAGAAGAAATAATTGTCGAAATATTGTTTTAAATTTGGAAGAGTTATATTGTTTAATTACGAATGACAATACACTCATTGAAATTGAATTATCTGTAACTTTCAAATAGTCGGTACGCACGGCACCTACTGTAAGTTAATTGTACTATGGCCATAATCATCGCGCAAGTGAATGCAATAAATTGACGAAGTTTTACCGCAATCTGATGAACGGTATGGGCAGCGCATAAAATACGAACAAAAAAATATTAATTTTTATTTATTAGATAAGAAAATACAATGCTTCACTTATAATGAGATACAAAGTAATTATTATATTATGATAATACTAGCTGTGCCCCGCGGTTTCACCCGCGTCATCACGTGTCGGAGATGCGCGACATGACCTAGTTCAAGCATTTTATAATTGCAATTAAATATTTTATTTGATAGCAATAGATGGAAAAATTGGCATAATTAATGGAGTACTTTTATCTGTCGGCTGAATGTATGATGTAGAGCAAAGTTAAGTTTTATCCACTTTCCCTCCCCATCCCGGTTGAGCAGTTCTCGGTCTCGCAGTTCTCACCGGGCGGCTAGGGTTTATGTGTCGTTCGCGCGCCCAGCCAAGTATTGAATTATTTTAATTTTACAATATCTCTTAAACTATGCATCCAAATAACATGGTATAAAGAACAAAGTTTATCGTCATAAAATTTTCTTGATGATGAAGTAACTTTCGTTCGTAAGGATAAATAGGCCATGCCTAATAATAACGCTCATAAATCACATTTAAATTTTTAATATTTTTTTGTCACAAAATACCTAATTATGGCTTATGTATAAGAAATAGACATATGGTATCGCGGATTTTTTTAGACGAAGTAAAGACCTATATTTTTCTAGAACATTGTATTTACGTATCCCTAACGATAACACCAGCGTACGAAAATAAATCATTTCGGGAGTGCTTTTTCTACTGACTTGCTTAACAAATATCTATATTTAAGGCTATCTGAGTTATATAGCTTAATTCTAGATATACTATTCCACATGAATCTGGCTATAATATACAAAAAGAATTTTTCAAATCGGACTGGTAGTTCCACAGATTAGCGCGTTTAAACAAACAAAAAAACTCTTCCGCTTTATTATTATGATAATATGATAATACTATCACATCTACCTCTAGTATTCTCGATTTACTAGTTCACAATAATTATATTACTGACGAGAAAAGGGTAGTGTAATTAGACCGATAATGCACAAATCATGAAGTTACAATTTCATTGACAAAATATTATAATTGATATGATTCTGATCTACGGCACAGAATAAATAATAGTACACTAGGGCATCCAATTGCAGAAGACCGGTAGGGGCGGCAAAATTAGAATAGCCTACTGGCGGCAAATGTGTAAATCCGCCACTGTCGACCGCGGAATGACCACGCTCCCACAGAATACCAGCGAGTGTAGGTGAGTGTAGAGAACCGGAGACCCTTTTTACTGGAAAAGAGGAATTCAATCTTAGTGCAAACGCCCGTATCTGCAATTTGATTCGCAAACGAGGATAGCTGTACATGTGTATATATGTACATAAGTATAGATATGTAGGATAAATGTAGATGTTTATAGGCCACAGCAACCACTTACCATAAGGTGAACTGTGTGCTCGCTTGTCACCATTATCCTATAAAAAAGCTACTGATCTGTTTTGACTTACTGATCCGTTGGGCTATTTAAAATAAATAATAAACGCATCTCACTGCAAAGATGTCCTATTTGTCGTTCGTTAGGTTCATTTACCTCTTAAAACCCTAAGTGTTCGAAGAAATATGTGAGATGCAGATGTGTATGAACTGTGTATGAACTTTTGAAGCTAATACACTCCGTGTATCAGCTTCAAAAGTTTCCTTAATGTTTCCTTTCTCCGCCGAGTACCTACGCGATAAACCAAAACTAATTATCGCAAATGAAAAATGCGAAACTTTCTTAGGTGTTATTTTAAAGTACTCGTATGTTTCCACAGAGCATTTATCAAACAGAGAGAGGCAAAAATGCACGTTCCAGCCGAAATTGGTGATTACTCTGACTTTTACTCCTCCATACATCATGCGACTAACGTCGGAATCATGTTCCGAGGTAAAGAGAATGCGCTGCCTTCTAACTGGTAAGAATTTAATATTTTATCAAGAACGCCCTATAGTAGACTAAATGCGTATAGACAGCCGTACAGTATTAGTAGATACGTAATTCTATAATTGATTAATACGGTATAAGGGTCTATCTAATGAATGAACAAGGTTCTAGCAAATATTGAGTGACGATTTATCATTTCAAAAGCCAAATCAAAGTCCTACAAATTGTCGACGGGCAGCACCAGTATCCTTGCACTATTTATTATATCTATATTAACACTGATTTTAGCAAACCGCACAGGTAATGAGTATGCAGTTTGTTAAAATGCCTAGTTTGGGATAATCTTTCAAGAAATTTGTCATTAAACCCAGTAGTGATTACAAAAGGCTCATAAAGAATTATAGAATAATGCACATCTAGGTCAAATCATCGACGTCGTACTCCGCATTACTCCAATATTTAGCAGATATATATTATATTATTTTGTGTATGTGGTAGAGCAAAAAAATTACAGCCTATATGTGTGCTACTGTTGGACACATGCCTTCTCTTAATTCTGAGAGCGTTAAGTAAAATATCCACCGCGTTGCTCCTATGCATGGATTCATATCCCCCTATCTTGGAAATTTCGTTTAATTAGTTTTTAAAAGTATAAATAAGCAGAACATCTCAAAGCTTCCATAATAATTATCTATTTACATTTCAGGAAACACATCCCGATTGGCTACCACGGACGATGCAGTTCTATTGTTATATCGGGCACGCCAATCACCAGACCATATGGACAAACTTTACCTGTAGACGGTAGGCTAAAGTTTGATGCTAGTTTACCACATAAATATCGTTAAAAATGTACTCTATTTTGGAAGTAAATATTTAATTATTATTTCGTGAAAATTATATTTCAGGTTGCAAAATATTATCATAGTAAAAATACAATTTCTTTGTTTTAATGTTTGGCAAACTCAATAGATGTAAGTGCGTAGTCTTTGGCTACCCCACTGGGTAACAGGCGTGAGAGCTTATGAAGCTTAAGCGTGTCACACACTACGCAGATACGATAAGATATCTGTATCTTAGCGCATATATAGTTCCATATCGCTCGCCATGAAATTAACACACACAGCGCAGATAATTTATATTTTATCGTTAAGTATCTGTAAGCACCGACATATTATATCGAAAGATAATGACAGGTATTATCAGATACAAATATATCTACAGATAACATCTGCATATACAAAGATGAATTACCCCGCACATAAATACAGGATGGTCGCTGAAAAAATCCGATTGAATTCGCCTCGGTTCTTTTAAAAATTTATATGACGTTCTATCCATATTCTTCAAAAAGGAGGAGGTTCTCAATTCGAGTGTATGTTTTTTTTTAATGTGTGTTACCTCATAACTTTTTTCTGGGTGAACTTCTTCTCTTTCTTTTCTTTTCTTTCTCTGAATTCTTTTCTTAATTGAAAGCTGATGCTTCTCATGTGATCCCATATAAATTTGATCGAGATTTGACCAATAGTTTTTGAGTTATTCTTAATAATTTATATAGAAGTCGGTTGTACAAAATGTTTAATTTTAAATTACGATTATTATTTTTGTATTAAATAGATTATACTTCAAAAATTCCACCCCTAAAGGTAGCAAATAAATATCTCATTTTTAGCTATTTGAAGTCTGTTTTTACTTTTTGTGAAGTTATAGTAAATGCTTATGCAACACGTGCATAAAAATTAAAATCTGAATCCTATTCTGACGAGCTGTGTAGCAAAATCTAGAAGCAATATTCGCCAACGCATTGTAGGTAACACTCTGTAGCAACAATCTGATTCAAAAGACACGTCTAGTAAGTTTGAAGGATTTCGAGTGAATGTAATATCATCGTATCTGCGTAGTGTCTGATACTTTCAGATAAATATTTTTTTATACGCAGATTAAATATTATCGTATCTGCGTAGTGTGTGACACGCTTTAGCACTTCGCAGGTGGATTAACGAACGCAGTACCAGACGTCTCGCACATTTCACGCTGCTCCCCGTCTCCGGTCTAAGTGTTTCACAACAACAATTACAAATAAAATAGTACGTGGGTCACTCAATAAGTTTTGAGATATACAGAAAGTATTCTAGATACTATTAATATTTATTTTACATCTTTTCAAAATATTCTCCATCATGCTCTATACAAAGTTCCATTCGCCTAAACCAACTCTGAAAACACTTTTGCCAGTCTTGATCTGACAGGTCCGAAATCGCTTCTTCGTAGCCAGCCACAGCTTCTTCGGTACTTGAAAAAAACTTGCTTATTATTTTTTCTTTAACTCTTGGGAACAAAAAGAAATCACAAGGAGCTAAGTCAGGGCTGTAGGATGGGTGACTTAGAGTTTCAACACCAGATTCCTCAATAAATGCTTTTGTTCTAAGAGAATTATGCGAAGAGGCGTTATCGTGATGCAGCACGATTCCCCGAAGCCCGGTCTTTGGTCTTCTCTCCCGCACTGCTTGAAAAGCTTTGGATAATACAACTGTAGTATACTTATCAGTGTTGCCTGAGCTACAATTATCCAGCATAGACGTCGACAAATGTCCGCTCCGCGAAAAAAGCCACCATTTTTTTACCAACGTTGCGAGGTCTTTGCAGTTTTGTCGGTAACTGTCCTTCTGAGTAGACCCATACTGATGATTGTCTTTCATTTTCCGAATCATATTGATAGATCCATGTCTCGTCACCAGTTACGATTTCTGAAACAAACGTAGACGCATTTCATGGCACCAATCCACACGAGTCTGTTTTTCGCTTTCGGAGAGCAAACGAGGGATCCATCGACAACAAAGCGTCCTCACTCCAAGATGTTGATGTAGGATGGTATGAATGCTCCCCGAACTAATGTCTACAATCTTTTCGATGTCCGTATATGTGATTCGTGGGTCTTCTCGCACCAACATTTCTGTAGTCCATACATTTTCCTTTTGCCGGGCCCCGGTTCTTTGGTCATCTTTAAGATTAATTCTACCCCATTTGAATTCAGCAAACCACCTAAAAATTGTTGCGCGTGATAGAGCTGAGTCCCCTAATGCTGATTGTAACCGTTGTAAACTTAATTGTTCTATTAAACCAAATTTAAAATCATAATATATCATAGCGCGCAAATTTTGACGGTTAACATCCATCGTTTTAAATAAAAAGCGCGGGAAGCGTTGCAAGAAAGTTAATAGAAATTTGTTTTTTTTTTTAAATATTGAGTAATTGGCTTATGGAGTTCTATTTTTAAATAAATTTGCTTTTTGGAAACATATAACACGGCTGCGTTCCATTTTTAAATTTCGAGCATTTCAAAACTTATTGATTGACCTACGTACTTATTCATACAGACGACTTTTGCCTTGTTATCTGCCGACTTCCAAAAAGGAGCCGGTACTCAATTCGACTGTATGTTTTCTTTTTTTTCGTTTTTTTTTATGTGTGTTACCTCAGAACTTTTTTCTGGGTGAACCGATTTCGATGATTCTTTTTTTATTTGAAAGCTGGTACTTCTCGTGTGGTCCCATATGAATTTGATCAAGGTCAGACCAATAGTTTTTAAGTGATTCTTAAATAACTTATATTGAAGTCGGCTGTACAAAATTTTTAATTTTAAATTATTTTTTTATTGGAAGACGTCGCCGTTCGATATTCTTCATCATCCTGATCACAATTTGTTTTTTTTTTCTTATCGGAGTACGTCACCTTATGTTGCAATTATTTATGTCATCGTTGCAATTAGTTCGGTCACATTTGTTATTGCTGCTTCATTTATTTAGTAATTAATTTTAATATGTTAATTTTTATAAGACACTAATTAAAAAAAAAAGAAATTTACCTGACTATTAAAGACTTAGTATGTCATATATAGTATTTATAATATCTTATGTAAAATACTAAAAGTAAATAAATACAAAAATTACAATAGTGGTATCATTCTTCAGGTGCTGAGCCACACTTCGGCCCGTGCCGTCTGATGGATTTCGAGCTGGAAATGGCGTGCTTCGTCGGCGGTCCGCCAACTAAAGTTGGAGAGAGGGTCATTGCTAAAGAAGCTGAAGACAGGATCTTCGGATTTGTACTTATGAATGACTGGAGTGGTAAGTCTTCAATATTTGTTATGAAAAATGTAATGGATATTTGTTATGAAAAATGTAATGGATATTTGTTATGAAAAATGTAATATGTGCTCAAACGGTTATTGCAAAAAAAAAACGATTATTAGAACGTTAAATCGATTATAATTTTCTGGTTGAGAACATTTTAGAATAATTAAATATGTAGGAATTTCGTTTCCTATTTTCAATTTTCGTATCATTAAAGTAATATAATGTCGCTACACGTTCAAAAATACAAACGAGCACCCAGTCGCCCAATCCACCTAAACCTAATGGTAAGTGGCCCTTAGATATTGCATGCCTTAAGCGCAAACGCGTAGGTATGTTCTACTAGCGCCTAAAAATCAAGATTCCAATGTTTTGTCACATGAAATCGTGTCTAACAATCATATTGAACATATTAAATGATATAAAAATCACATTGTCAGTCAGAAAGATAAAATGATTGATGAACTTATTTTTTTTAAATCGATCAATTGCTATTTATACATAAAAGAGCGATTTTAATGACATAAAGTGTAGATTTATCAAGTCCGCATGGAGGCGTAAACACTAAAACTTTTGAAAATATCAACTCAATCTATTTTTAAACTCTTCATCTATCATGGGGTAAGCTATGGAATGTTGTTGTATGTATGTTTAATTTTGTTTTGTTTAGTTATAATTATTTTTTTCGGCTGAGAAATAATACATACACCTCAGTGACCTCAGTCCCCCCCCCCCCCCCCCCCCGTGACCATGGGTGCTGTAGTGCTCGAAACGTCGGGAATATAAAATAAGTTAATATACTCGATAAAATCCGTAAAATAAGTTTAAAGCACCCTAATGGTAAATTTTTAAGGCCAACGTATCTAGTTTTTCTGCATGATGATAATTTTGTTTTATCCATGCAGTCTTAAGGTTACTTTTACTGTATTAAAATAATTCTTTTAGAAGACGAGAATTAAGAGACATGTACGTATATAATACGTACTATTCACTATATTTATTTCTATCGATAGTACATAATATTTTTTTCAGCTCGAGATATTCAGAAATGGGAGTATGTGCCTCTTGGACCATTCACAGCGAAAAACCTTGGGACTTCCATCTCCCCATGGATTGTCACCATTGAAGCATTGCGTCCCTACATCGTGGACAACTATCCGCAAGATATTACACCTTTCCCTTACTTGAGGCACGACGATAAATTCAACTTTGATATAAAGTTGGAAGTCGATCTGAAGCGTAAGTAGTTCTTTTTTATCAAAATTATTACATAAAATTGCTTGTTGTTTTTTTTAATGTATTTGTATGTGACTTAGTTAATGGGGTGAATAAGTGGGGTATTAAACAGGTCTTAAGATCGACATCAAGCGCGCTGAAAACCAGCTGCGTGGATATAGTCACGAAGTAATGCTGAGTGTATGTAGTCCTTTTGTACCAAACCCATTAACCCACACACATTTTTTTATTCACACTTTTCTAGTTATTAAGTGAAAAAAGTAAATATGTTTTCGTTCTTTCTATAATATTATTAAGCAAAAAGGTGACCAAGGCGTTGTTACCACTGTGGACTAAGAGGAAATGTCTCAGTCTGTAACTGTACAGACTCTCTTACCCTTCAAACTGGAACGGAGCGGGCGTACTGCTGCAAAGCGATATTATTTATAATATATATTGGGAAAATAAAATAGATTTTTTTTTAGATTAAGGGTAACAAACGAGCATACAGTCCACCTGATTACTAACATACTCTTTGGTCGTAGGACCTGACAATCATTCAAGGTTGACATGTCTAGGCGCATTGACGATCGCCGCAGCCGCACCAGACGTCTTGCACTTTTGACGCTACTCCCTATCGCTGGTCTGTGTATTTTACGTCACTATTAATTACCGAAAGGAAAGGCTTGATAATTTGTTACTATAAAAAGAGTATCCAAATTTATATTTGCCTATTACCGAATTAAAATCCTTATATTACTTATTCTGAACCTTCTCTGCAAATTTGGCCGGGTATTGCAAAATAACCCTGTATTTATACACTTTCTTAGTGTTACCATATTAATATTGAGCGCACCGCTGCTTGGCCCAGAAATAAGTACCAGGCCCACATAATTACCATAATACCCACATAATTCTATCGCTTTTAATTCTTTACCAGCCGAAAGCTCGCCGGTAGCGACAACTATAAGCCGCTCCAACTACCGCTTCTTGTACTGGACAGTGAAGCAACAGCTGGCTCAACAAACCATCACAGGCTGCAACTTACGTCCCGGAGATTTGCTTGGATCGGGCACTATCAGTGGTGATGTAAGTAGTTCTCGGTGTTTGCGTATGTTTTTCATAAAAACTTAAATAATTTTGCACGAAGACTAATTAAGGAGAAATGGAGTAGGTTTTCGATGTAATGAAACAGCCATTCCTATTTTTTTTTTTTAATTTAAGAATTTGTTGAATATTTGATTTTAATATTTTAATTTCGCTTATTTAAATCAATTTCATAAAAGTCCACTGCTGAACATAGGCCCCCTCATACGAGTAGATTGCCTCATAAGGAGGATTTTGCCATAGTTAATTGCCATGCTTGGGTTGATTACCGCAGTTTATTATAATTTTAAATTGTTATCAAGAAGACGCTGCTGCCTATCTCTTGTTGCAGTTTCTCTCTGTCGTCTTTTACGACATCCACGGGATAGGTAATATAGCGCAGTGGGTTCGTTTACGCCGCCCCTACACGTCTTCATAAAACAAGCTAATTTTAATAATTGTTATACCTGTTGTAATTTTCAGACTTCTGACTCATATGGCAGCATGTTAGAGTTAAGCTGGAAGGGAACAAAGCCTCTACGTTTGCTTAATAGTGAGGAAAGGAAATTTTTACAAGATGGCGACACTGTTATTTTACGCGGATACTGTATAGATGAAAATGGCGTCCGTATTGGCTTTGGTAATTGTGAAGGAAAATTACTACCTGCCTTACCTATTCAAGAATAAAAACTTTTATGCTGTTTTATACACTTTGTAATATGTGTCATTAATCTTACGCATTTTTAAATAAAGTTGGTTTAATAACTGAAATTGTTATTTTTGTCATGTTTGCGCTAAAATTAACATACTTACATAATAAATTAAATAAATAAATTTCAGAAACTAATATTTTTACCAATTACTAGTATATATAATATTTATTCCTGTTCACTTCACCGAGTTCTATAGTAATTGTAAAGGTACAGTTCAGGCTACACCTATGGAGCTCTTTGCCCGATGACATCAGAAAAGCTCCCAATAAGTTTGCTTTTAAAAAGATGGTACATAAGCATCTATTAAAGACAACGTTTGTTACATGAATCATCCATGTCATTTATATTGTTATCAGACGTATAATATATTCATAGTTTTTTATATGTACAATTTATATTATATACCTATATTAATATGTATATATTTGTATATATGTATATATGTATGGAGATATGTATTTGTATATTTTGTTTATTTATATATTAGTAAAATGTATATATTACGTAGTTAATTTAATGTTTAATTTGTGTTTATTCTATATTGCCACACCTACGTCAAATTCTCACCACGACATGGGACGACTGGTAGAGAATGTCTCAAGGCATTAAGTCCGCGTATTATATTGTTTTAAAGAATGCAATAATTAATAAATAAATATTTAAACTTGAAAAAATGGTCATGTATTTTCGAAGCCTAAACCCTAGTCCTAAGGCTGATAAAAAGAAAAGCATTTCGGACTCGGCCATTTATTATAAGCTGTAAGAAATATGCGAGCGTGAAAGCTATTGAGATCCTGCCTTTTTGGTCCAGTGGTCGTAAGCTCGACTGCTGATTATGAGGTCTTGATTTCGAATACCGGGGCGTTCCAAAATCAGTTATTGGGTTTTACCGTCAAGGAATCCTCAGTAGCAGCCCGAAGTCAAGAGTTTGGCGATGTTTCACTCCCGTGCCTTGAAATGCACGCAAAGCCATTGAAACTGGCCGCCGTGTTCGAAATTCGGTCTTGAGGACATTATATTAGGGAACCTATTGTTCAACTGATTTCCCTTCAGAGTCGCGACTACATGCTGTTTTCGATAGCCCCCTATATATAATGTACTCTGTGTTCGATAGCCATTATTATGGAGGGTAGAGTAGAAGGAGGACCATCTCTGTATATGAAAAGTGTCCCTAAAAACGCGTCCAATAAGGGTGGCGCTGCAGTAGTATAGGATAAATTAAAAAAAGCGCCAAAATTTATTAGAATAAGATGGAGAAATGAACAAGGACCGACCAATCCGCTTGGTTTTGTACTACGTAAATAGTTGAGGTTTTGTATACTGGCATTTTACTAACTACTCTAGTCATGAATTTTTTTAAATATTTTAATTCAGCTGACTTCACTCCGTCTACAACAGCTCGTATATTCATATCGTAGTTTTTCAGACGCCAGCGCTATTGTGGTAAGTTTTGGAACCTCTATTTTCAGTATATATTGGGACACTTTTTCAACTTTCGCACCTTATAAGATGGTTCTCCTTCTACTCTACACTCCATAGCCATTATGAATGAACTTGAACTATAAAGTCACAGATAATATAGTAGTCAGGTTTAACCATAGACTTCGCCAGTATATTCTAAGTCTATGGGTTTAACTTTGTTCCTATTTCCAAATCATCACACTTTTTAACGTTCTACTTAAACTTTTAAAGTTTAAACAGATTACGCAAAGTAGGTACCTATTTAATATTTTTCCATAATTTAAAAAAATAGTGAAAATAACGAACGAAATAGCGGGTATGGATAATTATGTTGTGATTTAGTCACTGTTAAATTAAATTCAGAATAGAGATATTCTGAATTTAATTTAAAAGTCACTAATTATTTTAGGAGCAGGGAAAAATATTATTAGAGGCATTTGATTGAACAAAATTAAAACTAATCAACCAACCAACCGATAAAAATTTGGACTAGTGGCTTTTTTTTTAAACGTCACCCCCACACTAGGATTTTCTCCTGTGTCGTGGAGGCAGTTTACAAACATAAATTGCCTAAGGACAAACATCCAGACCCGGAACAAATATTTGTAGGCCATACATATACTTGTTCCGTGCGGGATTCGAACCCGCAGCACCCAGCGCAACAACTGATTGCTAAGCCACTGCGCCACGGTGCCGTCAATATATATTTGGATATTTTTTTATTTATTTTTATAATTATTTTATTTATATTTGGATACCATATTTAAAACTATGGTATCCAAATATAAAGTAAACTAAGCTAGGATTAAAAAATTTCTTGCACGTTGCATTCCCTCCGTAGGTTCGCTAACGTTAAAAGTATTATCTAACGATCGAACATTTCTTAATCGTTGATGACAAGTAAGCGCTTTTTTTAAATTATAACTCATATTGGAAATTTATAATGCTTCATTGATTTGAAATTTGAATGAATTTGCTACCAAGTGATGTAAAAGTGACTTTTAACTTTTACGTCTGCGTCCTTGCGATAGATATTTTTTACAGGTAAATTCAAAACAAAACATAATGGGCACTGATGAAAGTGACAGTGACAGTAACGAGACTGATACTGAAAGAAACGAAGAAAAGAAATAGACTGATTATGAAGACTATAAAGGGAAACACTCTGGCTAAACAATATATTCAACGAAATGAAAATTGTGTTGATTTTACACCATCGTGCTTTGAATGGAAAAAAATATTAGTGCTGCGCGCGTATTAAATCAAAATGCACTTCACGTTCGCGTGCGAGAGTCTGTATCACTTAGCCTATTACGCAACTTTGTTTAAGCCGCCCCTACTGCGGGTTAGGTGTTGTGATCCTTTGATATTAGTTGGTGGTAGAGCACACAGAGGTGGTTATGTAATATATTAGTAATTTGCTGATAATAAGAACATTATTGTTCAATCTGAGGAAGGTTAACATGCAACATCGAGAAAAACTCAGATAATTTATCTACTTACCATTTTTAACCGATTTCAAAAAAGTCACCTCAAATGTATTTTTGTATACAGTGCTACCTCAGAACTTTTTTTAGGTGAACCGATTTTGATTATTCTTTTTTATTTGAAAGCTGTTGCTTATAATTTATACCGGGTGTTTGTGAGACGCTCCCGAAAACGACGACAGACGCTATCGTCTGTCTTCGTTTTCGTCTCGAGGAAAAAAAAAGATGATTTTTGAAGACGACACGCTAGCTATGATCGCTAGCTGTGGGTCACGCGAATTCGGCGTCCGTGCGTTTATTGACCCTAGTGAGCTAATTTTAAATTACACTGCTGGTTTTATGTTTAAGTATTTTCATGATATTTATTTTTTTTAAATTATCGTTTCGCTGTATTAACGTGATGGAGTGTGAATAAAGCTAATAAAACGTTGTAAAAAGATTTTCTGTTTGACCCATCATCAAAGGTATCGATAGTACTATCGTCTGTCTTCGTTTTTGGGAGCGTTTCACAAAGATCCTGTAAATTACATATAAATTTGATCAAGATCTGACCAGTAATTTAGGATTTATCCTTAATAATGCGTATTAATATTGAAGTCGGTTGTACAAAAGTATTATTTTTAATTACTTGTCTCTGTTCCTCTCTTTTTAAAAATGTTACCTCTACACTAAAATTTTCTCCTGTATTGCGGGGGCAGTTTACATACATAGATTTCACAAGGACAAACATCCAGACCCAGAACAAATATTTGTAGGCCATACAAATGCCTGTTCCGTGCAGGATTCGAACATGCGGCACTTAGCAACTCATTGCTAAGCCACTACGCTACGGGGCCGTCACTTGTCTGTTTCACATTTTTTGCTATGTACAAACATGCAACAAGCGACGACATTATTAATGAAAAAGGTGCAACGAGAAGTGCTGCTATTATCAATCTCTTTCTTTTACCAACCAAAATAAGTTAAATTAATAAGCAGTATATGTTGATATTGCATTAGCAGGCAGTTACTAGTACTTGGAGGTCTACTTACACTGAACGTTGAAAAATCGAAAACTGCGAAGCTGTGGTCGGGTCCCTAATGAAATAATAATTCTTTAACTATCGCGTCAGTAACAATGAACCTAATTATCTAGATCTACCTGTAAATAATAATATCTTATCTTTCGGTGTCTTTAGGAACAGTAAAGAATGAAAAGTCGACATTCCTATTACTATTCAAGCACCCGCATGCTATGCAGTACCTTTTTGAGGCCTCTCAAAAAAAAACTCAAAAATAAATAGCAAAAGTGCCTACAAGAGAAAAATACTTTTTTGTTAACGTAAAGCGCGCGTCAGCTCGACCGCGCGTGACTACCTAGTGAGGTTAATATAGATGTTATAGAGGCTAATATAATGATATTAGCCTCTTGTAGGCAACCGCGCAGCGTAGGTATATTTTCATGCCTAGCGCGGAGTGAGATAAGCCTGATATGGTGTAAAATAAAAAAAGGTAAATTTATGGCCAAGAAGTGGAACTTTCGGAAGAATTATTTATTTTTAATTAAAATAAGTTGTATTTTGTTTTACATTGACACGGTAATATACACGGTAATTTGAAAATAAATCTAAGGTAAATACTTTAAGTCCGGCAATTTTAGTCTGCTGACACGGTAATTTGCAATTTGCATCTGGTAGCACTGGTACAACTGTCAGTTTCATTCAATGAAAAAAGTGACTGTTTTCTGTTCTGCATTTTCGCGTTTGCGATTTGCGTGTTTTGCATTATTTGCAATTTTGATACATGTGCCTCTTGTTATAGGTATGGTTACATAAAGCCAAAATTGCTTTAATTATTTAGGTCTATTAAAACCTAGAAGTAATAATATTCGTATTACAATTATCGTGCTTTTGGAACGTGTTGAAAAGTAAGAGAACAAGACGATGGAAAAGCACGATGAAAGCTACAATAAAAATTTATCGCAGAGATTGGTTGCTGATTACGGCTCATCTGATTCTGAATCTGAAGAAACTGAGAGTCGATCTCA